AATTGAGACATGCAGGTAGTCTTGAATGTGTGTTCGAAAAGTGCTGAATTGAACTAAAGGTAGAACCTATACGTATTTGATAAAATATATAATTGGAATTCTGATCACTTTTGAATCTGTGTAATGGAATAAGAATGATATTTCGAAAATTAGTGTTTATGTGTATGAAGAGTACTAAATGGTAATGAACTTGATATTTGATGTAGGAATTCGTGATTTCGATATTCATGATTTCCATATAAAACATTATTTATTTCTTCAATAATGTTGGCGGTTTATTTGGGATACCATTTGTATTTTGTTTTTGCAAAATAGTCAGGCTGAAGCCCAGTTTGTTGTTGTTGTTTTTTTTTTAACAACAAACTAAGGGAACTGATAAGGATCAGTGGCGTGATCCGAAACTATAGTCTTCCTTGCCTTACCCCTCGGCAAACAATGCCATACATTTCTCACTAGTAGTTCTTATTTTGCAAAAATATTATTTATTTCTTTATGGCAAAGATTTTTTTTTGGAGATTCGACTAGGATTCTTTGTTTATTCTCTGAAAACACGAATTTCTTACTCGCTTATAAAATTAAGCTTAAACTATAAAAATACCTAAGATGGTTTGAAATATTATACGACGTTTTTTCTCCCTTCAAAAATAAATAGACAATGCAGATAAAAACTTTAAAATAAAAGTTTTGGTTGGAAATATCAGTATACGTAGACACCAGTCTACATAACTCCCACATACGAGAACAAACAGCCATATAATTGGTATCAATTTAAAGGTCAACCACTCCTATTAAATATACTATAAACTTCTCGGGTCTGTATCCTTCAGGAGCAAATACATACGTTCCAGAATCTTGTTGATTGAACATATCCCTTTCTCTGTGTAACATTCCGTGATGTTCGGATCATAATTGTGGCGTCGAGAAAATCAGAGAGCGTCCAGAAAATCAGACAAAAATAAAATTTTTGGTCATTTCATCCCCTATATATTAACGATCATTACCAAAAAAACAATAGGGGTCTTCTTTGACCAGAGCGCGTTCTACATGCAAAATTTCGTGAAGATTGGTCAATAACTGTGGCCTGTATCCTGTTTACAAATTAAAACGGACAGACACACGTGTCTAAATCGACTCTGCTAGGAGATATTATCGTTATAGTAAACGGTGGGTCTTGGGGCAGCACGAAGCTATAATACCCTGACAACATAGTTGTGTAGGGTGTAAAATTGAATCCCAAATTACAACATCTTCTATGGTAAAACTTTCAAAAAGGGGTGGTACGATAATATGGAGGACCGACCTCTTTATATAATATTGCACTCCATATCGCGATTTAAATAGGCAGTCAGACGGAAATGACCACATCGCACAGTGGGAGAAAATACCGATTAAAACATTAATGAAGTTTTAAAGTAGAATGATGAGAGTACTTAAGTCCGTATAAAATAATCCGAATTAATAAACTTGAACGGAATAACGGTACATTTAAAATAGAAATTTTTTTCAATGTTAAAATGGTATTTTTTAGCTATAAAATTGCGATGGTCGTGTGCATTCTGTGAATATATTATTATAAAATTTTGTCCGTTTTTGATATATAGTATTTCTATTTAATTAATTGGTATAGTTATATAACCCATAAGTTATTTTAATTTAGGAGTTTCGGGCTAAATATATGTAAGGTCCATTTTTTTAAATTCTTTCAATTAAAATAGGGGTTTAGTATGGAGTGCAGTCGAGTTCAGCGTTGATTTTTGTTTTATTTTTCTTGTGTGTCTGTCTAGAACATCATACTAATTTTTTTCCTGCGACTTCCTGCGACTCTCGGATTTATGGCAATTTTTTGAAAAAAATGCGAATTTGGTGTAGGAAGCTTTTTTAAGGTTTTGTTCAAATAAAATTAAAAATTTGTGAATTTTTTTTGATATAATTCATCAAATATGATTTGGAATAGATCACAGCATATCAGATAAGAAAAAACAAGTTCAAAATGTCCATCCTAAGGTTCCAGAGTACTAGGTGTGAGTATGAAAATGAGGGTATTTAAGTAAGCTGCTCCAACCGTTGATTTTAAACTCATGCACTGAATATACATTTACTCCAAATGTCTTTCTAAATAAAAATTGAAATTACAACGTAATCGGTTTACGATTTTTGTGGAGGTGGAGTTTATGGACTTTTATTATACCTGTTATGGGGTTTCCAATGACTGACATGACTTCGGATAATTTTATGACTTTGTCATACGAATTTCGTTAGGGTCGGATACAAGTATCAGTTACCTATGAATGCAAAAATACATATTATTTATAGATTTTTCTAACCATGAATGAAAAATCCGGATTTAACAAATGTTCATTCATAGATTTTCTCATTCAATAAGTGTCAAAGAACGGGATTATACAAGTTATAAACAAGTGAATGGCGATTTATTTTAGTTCATAAACAAGTGAAGTGGAAAAATGACAAATTTGTACAGAGAGCTCTTTGAAGTTTGGCTAAAATCTAAAAATGGTTCTGATGTAAAAGAATATATATTAAATGGACTTGGAGTTAATGCTACCGATTATGAAACGCTAAAGGGATTTGTAGAACAGTTACCACGCTATGTACGCGGTTTAAAACGAAATGGATGGCCGCCAGAAGGAACACAAAACAAATGGAGCGTCAGCATGAAAATTGGCTGATATAATTAAATGTGCAGCTTTGCCCATAGGAATGTTGTCTGAAGAAGCCATGGAATCCAGAAATAAGGACTTTCGGAACTACAGGGAACTGTACACCAGAAAAATTAGTCGTGAGGAAACAATGAGGGATCTTTTCAATAGGTTGCTATTTTCTTCTGATCCAAAAATATCAAGTTTGTCTCGTAGTACATCTCGTAACCATCGATATTGTGAGCCACTATCTGAAGAAGTCCTTAAACTACTTCAGATAATGTTTTAGATATATAATAGCTGTGTTCCCAAACCTGCAATATAGTACCATATTGTACTAGTTTTGCAATTGTTGCTAGAAAAGCGTTTCCTTAGTAGTAAATTATGAATTTGACATTTGATTGCCAGAGATATACAGTCCGAAATAAAGCATATGAAAGTTAGGGCTTCAACAAAAGGGACACACGCACAGGCGCACACACATTTGCTTTAAAAAAAAAACAAATAAGAGATTTAAAAATGGACAAACAGTTTTTTTATTCTCTTTTGAATGAAGATAAATGGCTGGCAGAAGATTCAGATGAAGATACTCCAATCCAAAATATCTTGGGCTTAAGACAGGTTTAGGGGCTCCACTTGGATCGCTTTGACATTTTTACAGTAAGTAGTCCTCGGTGAACTGATTACAGTGATATGGGGAGAAATGCATACTTCCCGAGATATGGGCCTTGAAAGTTCGGAGAGTATGTTGTTTTAATTAGCCGTATCATTTTAAAGGTGGTTTGTGGTTTGTGCTATATAACTAGATGAATATATTGCGTAGCCATGTATGAGCCTTTCCATATGTGAATGTCTTATTCTTAAGTTCTCTAAAAAATACCCGGTATAACCTTTTAATGATACCCATAATGCCTTGGTGGCAATAAAAAAAGGGTTGTTTTAAACAAAATATGTTCCGTAATTGCAAGGCCAATATCTCGGGAAGTATGCATTTTCCCACATGGAATGTATATCACTGTAATCCGCACAAGGAGGGCTACTTACGGTAATCATTTCAAAATGATCCGAATGGAGCCCCTAAACTTGACTTGTTTCATATCTTGTTGTTCTAGTTCGCAAAATATCTACCAATTTCAATAGCATTAACATTATGGGAGCGTCCAGTCATGTTAGCCTTTCCCGGCTCGGAGTCGTCAGAAACTCCACTTCCAAATATTCGATAAGGCTTTCCTCTAAATTATACAAATAAAAAAATAAACAAAAAATATTTATATTATCAAAATCACGCAATGGACGCCGTTTAACTTTTTTTTGTGCATTAGGTTTCTGTAGTCTTTTTTTTGTCCTTAACAAATGAAATTGTTGATTTTGACGTTTCTTCATGTTTTAACTATTTTTCGTTCCTTTACTTTTTGCGCTAATCTTGTATGTGAGAGTAATTTTCACCTAAAAATTTAAGTTTTTTCTAAAAAAATCGGCGCTTAATGGGTTAAGCTTGGATTTTTAAGGCCCTCAAAGCAATACGCATAGATTATAAAGAATATATACATTTTGCTAAGGCAAAAATGTGCATCATCGATATATTGGTTTTAGTCCCCAATGTAGAGTCGATTTGGAAATGTCTGTCCGACAACTCAGAAAGTGAATATCCGACATTACACTGTAATTCCGTTGGACTAATAGTCCAATCGGTTTCAAATGGTAACACGTTAATCAGTATGTACATGGCTATCCTATGAACTAGTATAATGTAATCGGTCAAGATCTTCCTCATTTTCTAATATGTCCGAAAAATTTTGTTAATTTTTGTGGGAAGATAATAATTTTAGTTCATACCAGAGGCAGGCATGCATTCTTTTGGATGACGTTGGAATCTTTGAAATCGGATGCTCCAGTGATGAAATCATGCCCGCCGTCGGAAAGAAGGACTTTTTTATTTAAAATTCATTTTCTTATCCTTTATGCTTTCAAGTACTTATATAAAAGTCTTCAATGTAATGCACGTCCATTTGCCAGCCGGCTGAAAATCGTAAAAATTTAAAAAGAGAATTGGTCGGAGCAATATCCGTGGATTTTCAAGTAGTTTTTAAAATTGGAGGCAATCTTAATAGCAGAAACCGGGATTTTGAATAGAAAGTGTTGACTGTTTGCATAATTATTGACATTTTATTAAATATATTCTTATTGATCATCATTTCTTAAACACAATCCATGGATATATGTATGTAATGTAAGTGACTAGAATAATACTCATTTGTTTGCATATGAAATATACAAGTTTCATACAACTCTTGCAAATAATATACTAAAATACTTTATCGAACTTCTCAAACGTTTGATCCACTAATAACTATTATATCTTAAAAATTCCGAAGCATAAGGGCCATCAAAACCGCCATCACGTGTATAGAGAGCATAATCTGTACCATCTGCATCGACAGCATTTTCCATTAGCGGAATATAATTACCCACGCTGATGCCTTGTTTTAATAGCTGATCTGGCTTCAGGCCCAAAGAGCTAACTTTACCATAGAGTTCAGCATCCAATTGTAAAGCTCGATCGAAATCTTTCCAATGGACAAACTTGACATTATCACGTGGTATTGCATTCTTATTCAATAATTCTCTCAATGTATTCGAATTTACCGGCTGCACTACACTCAATTCATTTTCTGAGGCCAGTAATGACAATTGGGGACTCATGAGAACCCGTTTGCCAACCGATTTCATTGATTTTATTTGCTTTAGCCAATGTACGAGGGTATTTAATTCATTGTCCTGGAAAAATATAACATTATTTTAACAGTAAAATTAACACATTTTTAATTTACTTACACTTAGTACACTCCTGCCCATTCGTGGCACCGACTTGTAATTACCCCAAAGTCCGTGGCCGAAATCCTTGTCGGATCTTTTGCCTAAGCGTGGTACATTTTTGGTAATTTTCAAAAAGAATCCCGGACTATCCTCAGCATCGCCAAGTCCTAGCCACAATATCGATGCAAATGAAATCAAAAGGATACAACGCATTTTGGAAGTATCCTGAATGATTGGTATTGATTCAATTGGTTTAGAGCCTTCTTTCCGTTGAAGTTTGATGATATATATCGACAAACTTCAACTTTACACTGAATACAAATTCAATTGAAGTTTATCTTTTATATTTGGTTTGTAATCACATTGCCATTGATATGGTGCTGAAGACACCTTATGGTAAATTGGGGTCAACAGAAGGTGTCGAAAAATATATGCGGGCCCTTTATTTTAATTTTACATGTTGTGTTCTTATTCTAAAAGGGTAGTGGAAAGATAAGTTCATAACATTGTGACACAAAGTTGAGCTCATGGTCTGGGAGTGGAAAAATTCCTTATGGGAATGAAAGCCTTTGGCGAATATGGGCTGGTAAATGAAAACCAATGCATGTTAGGGTTTGTAACATTACACATATATAATTTTTGGCGCTTAAAGAAAAGTCCTTATGGCGTGCATGATAACTCCTCACTGGAACATCGGAATCCGGAAATTCCAAGGGTGTTAGAAAGAGTACATGCCTGGCTCTCGTATGAACTAGGATTATTGACTTCGCTCAAAAATTAACAAAATGGCAGAAGATAAGGAAGTTCTTCACCGATTGGCTTTATTCTAGTTCATGCGATAGCTATACACCTACCAGAGAAACGTGTCAAAATTTAGATCCAATTGGATTATTAGTATTTGAGTTATTGTGCCCGCCATTCGTAAAAACACTACTTCGAAAAAATGCGTTTAAAGTTTGAGAATCACCCTTGTCGTCACCTGATGCTGACACAGCAATATCTTCAAGTGTTCTTGAGATTTTCACTGTAGGGACATTGTTGAATTAGTGTAGATTAAAAAACTAAATTACATTTTTTGACACCGAGTATGGGGCCCCCTTAAATCGTGAGCCACAGTCAAAAGTATCCACTTGGTTTTTATAATAACAATTTCTTAAGTGCTATTAATTAATGAATTAAATTTTATTCATTTTTATATGTGAAGGAAATTTTTTTTTTAGCAAACGATTTTTTGGAGGGTTAATGATTAGAACAGGTTGCGCAAAAATTCCCTTGCGAATGAATTAAAATACATTCTTTTCGTTTTTTGATCATTTTACGAATGAATTTATGGCGATAAATTATTTACCAAACGAGCATTCACCAAAGAATGTTTGCACACACATAACAAACGAATGAGAGCACACAACAAAGATCGTTCGTTTGGTGGTTGAAATTCTTTCTGACATTCTCTCACGAATGAAAACAAACATTGCCGAATTCTCGCGAATGCTCAAAACAACAACAAGAATAACCACAAACGTTCGTGAACTCAATAGTTGTTGTTATTCCACACACTTTCTGCTACACACACATTCATTCGTTGTGTGTGTGTGTGTTTACTTTTTTATGATATTTTTGTTTGTAGTTGTTTTTAGCAGTGCTCGCGAGCATTCGCGAACATTTGTTTTTTGAGTTTTTCAAAAGAATGTTCTTCAGCAACAAATATGTTCGCGATAGAACGAATCGAAGACGCTTGCAGCGAAATTTTATCGTTCGTGAATTTTCGTACAATGCGAACATTTGCGAGAGAATGCAAATGCTTGTGCATTGATTGTATCTTTATCATTCGCGATAAATTGAAAACATTCGAATTCTCTTCGTGAGCATTCGTGAGAAAGAACGTATTTTAATCATTCTTCACACCCTGGCTTAGAATGATATCCCTTGTTATCTTTTACAACTTTCAACCTCGTCAGCATAGATTTTACCATGTAAGATGTCTGTATTTTCCCCTTTCTACTTGTAAATAGGGTTTTTATTCATTTTCGCCGTTTTCAATTGACACTAAAGTAATAAGGTCCTTACGTATTTGGGTAATACGGACGTTCAACAAACCCGGTAAAGGTGAGAAGGTAAGTATTTTAGTACACAACGCACTGAATTTAGGTACGGACCTGAAATTGAACGAAATATATTTTGGGATTTTGGCGCACCATTTACCTAAAATCGGACGAAAATAAATATGTGAGCTATATCTAAATCTGAACCGATTTTCACGGAACTTAGCACACATCAATTTAGACTTAATTCAGTACGCTATGCCAAATTTCGTATATATCGAAAGATATTTAGGGACTTTGGCGCACCATTTACCTTAAATCGGACGAAAATATATATGGGACCTTTATCTAAATCTGAACCGATATTCACGAAACTTAACACACATCATTCCAGACTTAATTCAATACGCTGTGCCAAATATCGTGGAAATCGCAGGATATATAAGGACATTGGTGCACCATTTACCTTAAATCGGACAATATTATATATTGGAACTATATCTAAATCTAAACCGATTTTTCCCAATTTCAATAGGGTTCGTCATTGGGCCAAATAAATAAGCTGTGTCAAATTTCATCCAAATGGGATGACAAATACGACCTTTTTTTGTTCACAATTTAACATCAACAGACGGACGGATGCATAAATCGACTCAAAAGGTGATTCTATGCATATTCTCAAAAGGAATCATTTGTACATTTAGCAGGTTGCTTAAAATTAAAAAAAAAAACAAAAACTTAAAAAAATTACGGTGACAAGGTTTTGATCTTGTAGAGGTTGACTTTGAAACTTTTTTAATTTAATTTCAAAACATTTATACCTTTGGGTATCTTCATCACTACTAGATGACCAGATTCCACTTCATTGAAAATCTAAATATCTTCTTCATACACTTTTGCGATTTTTTCTTGCAAACTCATATTCCCCAAACTACAGTAGACCACGGATATAAGAACATCTTATATAAGAAAAACACGGACATAAGAAGAGGTTACACCCATATAAGAATGCGGTTTATTATATAAAATACCTTCATATAAGAAAAACCCGCTTATAAGAACAAATTTCTCGATTTTTTTGATGTTCTTATATCCGTGGTTTACTGTATCTGGGTCTCTTAAAAACTCTAGTTGAGATATACAGTTCAAGTCGCAGCAGGCACTTATTTCATTTTGTAATATCTGTGAAACTGAATAAAAAGTTTGTTGATCTTACAATGCTTTCATGACAGCATGAACAATAATTTAAATCTGGCGTGATTTCAGCAAAGGAACCCATCTATAGGGCATTAAGAATATTTTTTATCATGACGTTCGCCCTACCTGAAACAGTTACTACAATGTGGAATTCAAAAAATAATTCCAGCAGTTTTTCTTCAATCATCTTCTCCCCTTGTAGTTGTTATATTGTCGATAACAAATAATAAGACGGATGGATCAACATGGATCCGTTGCTTATGCTTATGCGTTTAGCATTGAAATTTTTAATTCCATATTTATATGTATTTAGAAATATAATTTCCCGTTTATCCGGGAAATAGTATCGGGAAATATCAGGAATATCGAAATCCCAAAAAAAATCGACCCCAAAATATTTTTCTCGAAAATACCCCTAAAATCCGGGGACTGAGGAGGTGTTTGAATCTTGACAAAATTGTAATATTGACCCAATTTGTCAGCACTACATTTCAAATTACCATTTAGTATGTTTAAATATCAAAAAAAGCAGATTTCCTTCTTCGGCAACCCTCATACAACACCATACCATTACAGAGCCTTCTCCGTACTTTACGATCGTAAAGGCTCTCCACAGCCCCGCCACACCTACTCACCTAACCAATATTCACTATGGGCACAACCTGCACAGGCTTTTTTAAACCTGGAGTTAAAAGCATCGATCTATAGCATTCCTTGTACAAACTGATATAGCCTTGTCCTATCACATGGATATATGTCTTAATTAGTTATTTTCTTCGATGATGCTTTATCCGAATCGGAATAAATAAAAAAATCCTTGAAAATAGTCAAAATAGGTCCATGTTTTTACATGACGATCACAGAGGTCACGCTTTATTGTCTGTATGTTAAAATTCATAAAACAGGTTTCCAAGATGAGTATCTGTAATGTTGTCAGAGTGTAAAAAAACTATTAGCAGATAATTTATTATGACATAGATCCGTTTTAAACGTCTCAACCAATTTAAGATTTTTTATTAGTTAATTAAAAAATATTTGAAAATCATTCCAAAATTAAGGTTATTATTGAAAATATAGTTTCATCACTTCTTTATTACACAATACAAAAGAAATCCCATGCCTTTAAACAATTTACATCATATTATATCGAAGAAATTCTGGAGCATAATGCCCCGGTCCATGCTGTTCTCCTTGGGTATATAACAAGAAATCCGTACCATCGGTATCCATCAGATTTTTCACAATTGGTGTGAATTGTTCCTTTGTCAGGTCCTCCTTCAAATGCTGATCTGGTTTACGTCCAATAGAACTGATTTTACCAAATAATTCCGAATCCGATTGTAAAGCTCGATCAAAATCTTTCCAATGAATAAAACGGACATTTTCACCGACAATGGCATGGGTGTCGATTAACTCTTTAAGTGTCACCGTATTTACGGGTTGAACCAATGTCAAATCTTTGTCAATGGAATTGTGCGGAATACGCTTCTCCATTTTCATGTGGAATTGTGTATCCAACCAATTGGTAAAGGATGTTGTTGTTGTTTCCTCCTAAAAAAATCAATTTATTTCAAATTTAATATTTTAAATTATGAAATTGATAACATTACCCCTTCCGAACTCCTTCCAATACGTGGTATGGCTTTGTAGTTTTTAAGAAATGTAAACAATTTATCGGAACGCCTACCCAAACGGGGAACATTTTTGGCAATTTTCACAAAAAATCCAGGACTATCATTGGCATTGCACGCGGTCTTTGTTCCAAGGCCAAGGAACAAAATTAAAAGGTAGGATATCATGAAGAAATAATTCATTGTAAATGAGAGCCGAATGCGATCCTGGAAATTTTGCGATATATGTTGATTTGAACTCTAATATCTGCATTGAACTGAATTCTAATCGTATGGATTGTATCTTTTATACCAGTTTCCAAGCGGAAAGGGCAATGTCAATGGCAAAAACGTGTGTAACCATTTGTTTGGGTCAAATAAATGCGGGTTGTATTTTTTGTTTCAATATCTAATTTGGGTTAATGTTTGACAAACATACCAGTTGACCGTAGCTTTGTTATATACCCTCCACCATAGTATGCCGCATCGATATATTGGTTTTAGACTCCATTAGACTCCGATTTCATACAAACTTTGCACATACAAACTTTGCACATATTATATCTTCCAAACTTAAATAAAGTTCGAGGATGGGGAATATCTGGTCCCTCCCCCGCAAAAGGGTCAATGACCTTTCCGTATTCATTGTTGTGTATGTGTCTTGTGCAGTGGGCCAATAGGGAAAACATGATTGAAAAAAAAATACAAAGCTAAAGTATTTTTCCATTCTGATACAGTTACTAAATCAGCAACAACAATCAAGTGTTTAATGGAAATTAGGTTTGACGGCCAAAAACTACAATTGGTAAAGGAATTCCAATAGAAAATTCGAAACTGGAATTTCCATAAGAATATCTTTTGGCTTTTGGTCCGTTGGACATACATATATAAAAAACTATTCGTATCCACCATAAGATTTATTGATACCAGTAAGAAAGTAGTAAAGTCGGACTGGGCCGACTATATGATACCCTTCACCACTTTGGGTATATTGTATCCTTACAATTACATATCAATATGTGAAGGAACATACTCATGCCTTTCTGCAACCTATGCTAAATTTAATTTCATTCGGGCAGATTTAGAGTCTGCGTACCATGGAACAAATTTATGGAAAAGGGTACGTCGCACTGTTAAAAATTTAATCTCATTCAGGTACGCGTTCGAAATACATATGGAAGCTATGGATGAATCTGCACCAATTTCAACAAAACGCAATAACATCATTCAAGTCTCAATTACATTTCGAGTTAATCGGACAAACATTAGGAGTTTATATAAAATCGAACGAATATATATATATATATATATGAATATGTGGGTGCTATATCTAAATCTGAACAGATTTTCATGAAATTTAACACACATCGTTCTAGACTTAATTCAGTACGTTATGCCAAATTTCGTGAAAATCAAAAGATATATATGTACTTGGTGCACCATTTACCTTAAAAATATGTGGGAGCTATATCTAAATCTGAACCGATTTTCAGAAAACTTAATACACATCATTCTAGATTTTATTCATTACGCTATGCCAAATTTCGTGCAATTCGAAAGATATATAGGGATTTTGGTGCACCATTTACCTTAAATCTGACGAATATATATATATATATATATATATGTATAGGCCCGCTACGTTGTTAGCGAAACTTTTTATAGTTAAATAAATATACATTAATTTAGGTACACAATATACTTTTGGATTAAGTATAAATTTGAAACATTTTAATTATAGGTTTTATATCATAATATGTTTGTTGTAATCTCAGATCATACTCCGTATTTCTCTCGCACAGAAACGTTAATGCTTCTATCCTACTAAATCGAGTACAACTTACTTATTGTATATTTTCTGTAAGTTTACTATTTTCTTGATCCTCCCGATGGACTGATGTAAAAAGTTCTATAATACTGTGTTAACCTTTTTTGTTCCTTTCGGTAATTTAATACTAATGGTAAAATATCTAGTTCGTTTTAGTACTTATAGTAGTACCCTTATAGTACAAATTACAATCTTGCACAGGGCATAATTTTTTATGCAGGGTCTTGCCTTTATAGTGAAGATTTCCATAAAAATTGCAGAAATTTAGTATTTCTGGTCCGTTACGTATTACAAAATACTTAATGGAATTGTCGGTATTTATAGTATATCCTCATAATAATGATCCAGCCCATTATTCATTACATCAAAAGATCGATGCAGTATAATATATTTCCAGTGTGGTTGGAAACATCATTGGAAATATCAGTATTGTTATTTTAGAAAATTTTGAAACTTTAGCATTTAAAATTGCCTACACTTTAGTACTTGTGATGTTCAGCGGTTTGTTTGCATAGATTCACTTATTTGTATTTGAAGTCTCACCCGTTTTTCACTACATTGGAAATTTTAACCAAAATGCACAAATCATTCGCTGTAGTATAGATTCATGTGGTATTCGAAACTGTATTTCATATAACCGTTAGTAATTTTTATTAAAAATGTTTAAAAAATATTTCCATAAAACATTTTATTTGCCATAGTAAAAGAGTAATACTAAGATTCGGATATCATTCTCTAACCTTTTCTATTTAGTACTTTTTACTAAAAATTAAAAAATACTTTTTTTAATTTGTTTAAACAAAAAATACATACAAAATTTCAGGACTCTACCTCTACTCGTTCTGTCATATACAATATTTAGTACTTTAAGTACAAATGTCAAACAAAATTGTCAAAAGCATTGTTTTGTATATCCACCCGTACTGCCTTACACAATATGTTGTACTTTTTAGTACATTTTAGAACTTATTAATGCAAAATATTTATGTATAAATTGTTATTGTCATAGTTCCAGATAATTATTTAATAACAGGTTCCTATCTTCATCCATTCTACCGTACCGTAGTACTTGTATTCGATTCGTATTCTATTTGTTTATAATATACAAAAAAATTTCCCACACTGTGCAATATTTTGTATTTTTGGTGTCATTTAGTACGAATTTTCAATAAACCAAGTCTGTTATTTGTACTAATAGTTGGACATTTTTGTATTCTAAATTTACATTTATATTTTTTACGATTAACTATGGTACAATATTTAGTACAATTTTGTGCATATCGCTCTATTTGTAATAGTTAAGCTACATACTAAATTTCAAATCACAATCTATGACTTTTCCATTATAAGTTAATATTTTGTACCATTTTAGTACAAATTTCAAAGATATATTAATATATAGCATAGTATTTGTAATAATTAAATCTATGTGCCGCGTTTCAGATTTTTATTCCTACCGGTTCCATTATACTACAGTATTTAGTACTAATTCCAAAATGTTATGCTTAGCATTATATTTGCAATAGAGTAGTAAGCTACATACAACATTTCAGATTTCTATTTCTACCAGTCCCATTGTATTTAATTATTTAGTACTTTTTATCGCAACTTTAGTGCTAAATTCAAAAAAAATATGCATAGTATTCTATTTGTAATAGTTAAAGCTATATGTGAAATTTCAGAACTTTTTAATATATTCTAGTACTAATTAAAAAAAATATATATTTGCCCATCATTCTACTTGTAATAGCTTAAGTTACATACCAAATTGCAGATATCTATCCCTGTCTGTTTAATCGTAGTATAATATTTAGTACATGTAGTACTAATTTCCAAAATTTGTTCGCACATTCTGATTTGTTTATCAATGACAAAGCTGCATACCAAATTTCAGAGTTGTAGTTCCAACCGTTCCGGCGTAATACAGTTTTAGTACTTTTAGTACTAATGACAAAAAAATTTTTTGCACAGTATTCTCTTTGTAATAGCTTAAGCTCCATACCAAGTTTCAGATATGAATCTTCACCAATTCCATTCAAATACAATATTTATTACATCTATGTACTAAATTCCAAAATTTTTTCACACATTCAAGTCCGCTCGCCATAGACAAAGCTACGTACCAAATTTCAAAGTTCTACATCTAACCGTTCCCGCGTAATACCTTTTAGTACGAATTTCCAAAAACCCCGCCTTATAACACGTCTACGCACCAAACCCGGCCTACATGCCAAATTTCTAGATTTAGCCGTATGATCAGTCAGTCACTTATAACGCAACTCTTTTATATATATATATATATATATATATATAAATCTGAACCGATATTCAAGAAATTTTACACACATCATTCTAGTCACAATTTAATACGCTATGCCAAATTTCGTGCAAATCGAAAGATATATAGGGACATTGGTGCACCATTTACATAAAATCGGACGAAAATATATATGGGAGCTATGTCTAAAACTGAACCGATTTTCAGGAAATTAAACACACACCATTCTAGACCTAATTCAGTACGCTGTACCAAATTTCGTGCAAATCGAAAGAGGGACTGTTATGCACCATTTACATTAAATCGGACGAAAATATATATGGGAGCTATATCTAAATCTGAACCGATTTTTCCAAATTAATTTTTTCAATAGGGTTCGTCCTTGGGCCATATAAGTGAGCTATGCCAAATTTCATCAGATCATAAATGCGACCTGCACTTTGTTTACAAGTTAACATGGGCAGACATACAGACATACATAAATCGACTCAGGAAGTGATTCTATGCATATTCTCAAAAGGAACCATGTGTCTATCTCGTTTCCTTTTGCCTGTTACAAACATATGCACAAAGACATAATACCCTGTAGCACAGTGTGGTTTTATTATTTATTAAAATTTTTTTTTTAGGTTTTCCATACAGAGGCGTGGATTTATTTCAAATATTTTTTCTAGGTCCTCCATACAGAGGCGTGGATTTATTTCAAATATTTTTTCTAGGTCCTCCATACAGAGGCGTGGATTTATTTAAAATATTTTTTCTAGGTCCTCCATACAGAGGCGTGGATTTATTTCAAATATTTTTTCTAGGTCCTCCATACAGAGGCGTGGATTTATTAAAAATATTTTTTTCTAGGTCCTCCATACAGAGGCGTGGATTTATTTCAAATATTTTTCTAGGTCTCCATACAGAGGCGTGGATTTATTAAAAATATTTTTTCAAATATTTTTCTAGGTCCTCCATACAGAGGCGTGGATTTATTTCAAATATTTTTTCTAGGTCCTCCATACAGAGGCGTGGATTTATTTCAAATATTTTTTCTAGGTCCTCCATACAGAGGCGTGGATTTATTAAAAATATTTTTTTTCTAGGTCCTCC